TATATATATATATATATATATATTTAAGGAGAACAATTAAAATCAAGAATATTTCACCAAGCTGGTTATCCAATCACTATTTTTTTAAAAAAAAAATGTTTCCTTCTGTAGTCTACAAAAATCACAGCTAAGGCATATGATTATAAAAGCCAAAGCTGACTGTAGCTGAACTGAGCCAAGAGCACTGCCTAGGTTGCACCAGCAGAGTTCAAGCAAATAAACAGCAAAGCGGGAGAATTCATACATGTTTTCTGAAATGTTTTCAGTATGGCCCCTCCAGGACGTTAGTAATGTGGCTAAGAATATGTAGAATACATGGAGTCATGGCGTTATCATATATAAAATATGTGAGCATGCAAAAAAAAAAATAATCAAAAACAACCCCCAAAAATCTACTTACGCACCAAGCCCTCAAAACTTTAAAGGTGCTGGTTTTGTAATAATTTCTGCCACCTTGACCCTGTGCATCTTGAAATAGTTGTCGGTGACATGACTGGCAGCACACTGGTGCAGCCCTGTGGTGGGCATCCCTGCAAACCAGTCCCTCCGGGTCACGGATGCAGAGGAGTATCCCTAGCAGGATCGTCTTCTTCACCAGATGATGTTTTATTGCCTTTGGGAAACCGGTCCCAGCCTGGTCCTGCATCTGCAGTGGCAGCGCAGGCAGTGGAGATGCTCTCTGCCTGTATGGATGTTGTAACGAGCTCACATGAGGTTTACAACTCGTGCCAATTTTTAGGGAGCATCTCTTGGTCTGCACACCAAGCCCAGGGACAGATCCCAACTTCCCACTCTGAAATTTTCAAAGACACTACTATCCCAAGACTCCAGCAAGGGCGTATTTCCCCCAAAAGGGCTGAAATCGGTTCTCAACAGCAGACAAAGCAGCGTGGAAAATGTCATCCCAAACAGATAATGTGCAGCGAAGTCGTAAGCAGATGAACACAGGGGCTCGTAATGTGAAGTGTTGGGGAATGTTAATAAAAAGCAGAGCTACCAGCCCCACCTATAATATAATTTAAACCTATATATGTAATGTTTAACCTAGCAGGATCGCTTTTCCTAATAAACATGCAGTGTGCCAGGACTGCATAATGTAAATACAAGCAAAGCTTTTTTCAAGCTATTACCCATCTCTGGCAGCAGACGGGGAGAAACTCAATCCTCCCTGCCCCAGCAGCATTTCCACGGGATGGAAGAGAGGTTTTATGGCTCTACCTGGAGAAGCTCAGAGGTTGGGGGAGGTGAGATGCAACGGCTGTGGGGAAGCACCCATGGGAGGCTGCGGCATGGGGAACACAGGCTTTGCGAGATGGGAGCTCGGCTTGCAGGCTCTCCGAAGGAGAACCGTGCTCTGTGTGTGTGAATAACCTTAATGCAATTGCATTAGGAGAGCGATTAGGGCTCTGTGAGCTGTCACAACACAAATAATAGGAACAAATAATGTTAACCTTTCTGGCTGGAAGAGTTTCTCCTTGAGCACTCCGGGGTTGTCTTGGTGAAAAAGCTGAAATATTTGCAGTTTTTTCCAGTGTTTTAGCAGGGTAAAACAGCAGACTAGAAGCTGAGAAGCCTTTGTTTAAGGAAAAAATTAATGAGCTATTAAATGAAGTCCTGCTTCCTGCGATCAGATGTCCCTGGGAGTCGGGAGTTGCAGATCCACGTGCACGTGGGGTCCTTGTCATGGAATCCCACTGATGTGAAGGGGAAGGGATCTGATGGGGAGGCTGGGGGACTCCCCTTCTCTGGAAAATATTTTTTCTCTGTTTCCCCAAGTAAATTTGCTCCTCCACAGTTTCTCGAGTGCAGAAATAATGCACAGGACTGGTTCATTCAGAAATCCCGTTTGGGAACCTCTGCTTCCCTGCACCCTGATTCCCAGGGGAATCCAAGGGGGAACGTCAGGGCTTGCATCTTCCTGGCGAAGGCACCACTCACTGCCGTGGGTGCGAGTCTGATGCTTTCAGGAAGCCTGAGATTCACCCCAAGAGCAAAATATGTAACGCAAGTGGCGGCGTTCAGGAAATCCTGGCAGAAATGTCTACATCTCAATCACTCTACTTTGCTTAAATACACTTTCCCCTAAAGGAAAGCTCTCACATTAATGTTGAAAATGGCTAAAACACCCAAAACAACAGACAGCTGCATGCTATTCGAAATATTTCCAAATACATTTAAAAATAAACCAATGTTTTAAAATTTCCACTTTGCTCGGGGTGTTAAAGGAGGAAAATAAACCTCCAGCTCTGTGTGGGGTGACCAAAATGAACAGCTTCGTTTTCGTGAATGATGATGGGAGAATGCAGTGTTGGGTTAGTCCCAATTCTCTTTGTGATTATTTTCTTGGGTTAAAGCACTCCTACCCCTTTGCTTTGTATTTAGAAGCAGCTGAGCACATGGGGGGATGTAGAACTTGTTGAGTTTAACCCTGTGTTAGTAATGGGCCATGCTAAAGCAAATCTGAACGGAGCTTTTATCCTCCATTATTCTAATTTAACCTGTCAGGACTGGGGGTCAGGATACCTGAATTCCCACCTGAACCCTCCTGCTAACCTTTGCCATGACTGTGAGTCAGTACCAACACCACTCCATGCCTCAGTGTCCCCAAAGGAAGCCAACGATGCTGCCCTTGCAGGTAAATGACTTTCGGAGCCCTCTGGGAGGGCTCAGTTCTGTTATTCCCGTTGAGGGGAAGGTGTTGGTGATGGGTCAAACCAAGCTATTTCCTCGTCAGCAGTTAGTACCTGCAGCATCGCACCCAGGAGAGCGATGGGGGCTGCAGGATGGGGGTGGCCAGGTGGTCCCCCCAGCTGCGGATACAGCCACTCTCATGGGCTGAACCCACCCACTGCTCCCAGAGAGCCCACCGGCCTGGAGGTGACGACCCAGCACTACCCCGGGGATGCAGCACCAGCTGGAGACAGCTCCAAATTCCTACCGGCAGGAATTAGCACCAGGCTTTTCCTCTGCAAATACCAGGGTGAGCCAGCTCACCTCTTCTCCTGCCCAAGGCATGATGCTCCCCGCATTATAATACATTATCTGCTGCGTTAATGGAGGGGAGCATGGAAATTTATTTTCAGGTCGAATCCTCATCATCTGCATAACTTCGACTCGAATATTATCAGAGGGATGGGAGAAGAAAAGACAGACTGAATGCAGGAGCACCCCAGGTGTCCGGCCATTGTCAGGAGCTCGCCTTTACCTACTGTGCATATTATTTTCCTCTGGTTTGCTCGCCCCAGCCTAATAAAGCTTTCTCTCTCAGACACAGCCAGGAGCTGAAATACCATACTCTTGTCAGAAAGGTTTATTATTATGGTAAAAATTGTACTCATTAGATATTAATTATACCCAGTAAGAGCAGGTTCAGGAATCTATTTGTCTCTGCTCACCGATTAAATTTGTTCAGCTTTTCAGAGAAAGGTTGCAAGCTGTAGCATTAGATATGTGTAGCCTGAAGCTATATGGCCATCGAGGGGTCTGCTGGGGTGAAGAGAGGTGCAAAGGCTGGGAATGAGTAGAGGGGGCGGATTTGGGTGGTCATGCCTACTGTGGAACAGCCCATGTTGGGGCTGGTCTCACCTAACCTGAGATACCCAATAGTTAGTTGCCTTAGCTAAGCCTTGCAGGCTGTCTCTGTGGTCAGGGATGACACCTTCACTCATGCCCTTTCCTCATCTACCTTCTGAGGGTGCTGATCTCCTTCCACTGACCATGGAGGGAGTCGAGGTGGCAGGCTCTTGGGCAGCCATCGTTCAGGGTGGTGAATCATAGAAGGGAAAAGACTCTTATGATCATCGAGTCCAACCATTAACCTCTCACTGCCAAGTCCACCACTAAACCCTGTCCCCAAGTGCCACATCTACACGTCTTTTAAACACCTCCAGGGATGGTGACTCCACCCCTGCCCTGGGCAGCCTGTTCCAGTGCTTGACAACTCTTTTGGTGAAGAAATTTTTCCTAATATCCAGTCTAAACCTCCCCTGGCGCAACCTGAGGGCATTTCCTCTCATCCTATCACTTGTCACCTGGGAGAAGAGACCGACCCCCACCTCGCTACTAACATACAATAATTAAGACTGCTCCAGCCTCAGAAAGCCCAGACACTGTCATGTCTAAACATGTGCAACTTGGTTGTGGTCTACACTGATGCCAAAATGTGCAAACCCAAACTAATTACATCCCGCAGCTAAATGGCCCTCCCAACTCAACGCATCTCTCAGCACATTAGAGATGAAGCCTCCTTGGCTGTTTGACCATCTGTTTTCCAGTTCCCTCTGGTCCAACTGTGGTGAATTATGGCAGGGTTGCAAATATCCTGTTACTTATTTAAGCTTTTGTCCAGTGAGGGGATGCATCCAGTGAGTTATGGATGCGATCCACAACCCACCAAAATCAGCAGGTTCGTTTTCTTCCTCCACCCTCCCTTCCTCTTTTTTTTTTTTTTTTTTTTTTTTTTTTTTTTTTTTTTTTTGACAGGACATAGATCATACCCTGCTTTCTTTGCTACTTTTTCTGGGGAAAAAGAAATGTGTAGCCTAGGAATCAGCCATGGGTGATGACGTGGCCCCTCCAACCACCACCACCCCCGGCCCCGCACACAGCCGCGCGTGGCAGAGGTAAGCAATGCACACCTGGTAAAGCGGACTTCACAGATATTACACATATACGGCTTCTCTCCCGTGTGGGTTCTCATGTGTCTGGGCAGCTTGCCGGCTCCCATGATGACTTTGTTACAGATGGGACATTGCTGGGACGCCTTGGGCTTTATCTTCCTCTCTTCCTCCAGGGGCCACGGGGGAAAAACTCCTCCAAACTGGGTAGCGCTTAGGAAATTGAGATAAGCACTGTAGTCAGTCTCTGCCTTAATATGCCCTAAGGGAGCTGCTGGGGTGTTGGTAAACATGTCCTTGAAGAAGTCATTAGGGAAAGGGGGCGGAGGCAGGTCTTCCTTCTCCTCCTCTTCCTTGATCTTTCTCTTTTTGATCACCAGATCCAAGGGGCCGTTTTCTACCTGTGGCTCCTCGAGCTGGGAAAAGGAGCTAAAATTGCTGTTCCACAGATGGGGGAAGAAGCTAGGGGTGAAAGGAGAGAGAGCTGGCCTCATTTCTGGGATGTTTGCCTTAGGGTACAAGTTTTCCCTTAGTAAAGACTCAATGGAGAAGTCTCGTATGACGCCCAAGTGTCCAGAGGAGTTATTGGCTGGGTAGTGATTTGGGAAGTCTTTAGGTGCTTCTGTATACGCTTCTTCAGTAAGGTCAGACTTCGAAGGGCTTTGGTGACAGCTTACTTCTTGGACATCAGTTAGGTTCTCCTGATTGACAAAATCTTCCACTTCTTCCTCCTCCTCCTCTTCCTCCTCATCTTCGTCTTCATCTTCATCATCATCTTCATCCTCTTTGTCATCTTCCTCTTCTGCCTCTCTGTCGGGCTCCATGATTTCAAGGCATACATTGATAATGCACTGGATCTCCAGCATCTTGGCAGCACTGAGGATGTGCTTGACATTTGAGGTGGTGATGGTGAGGGTTGAGGTGTAGGCAAACTCGAGGATGGCAGAAAGTGCTTCAGGCTTGACAAAGTCAATCTCGTAAACATAGGGCTGGTCTGTTAAAGTGCCAGTTGTGAAGAGTTTTTTGAAGTACTTGCTGCAGGCAGCAAGGACAGACCGATGGGTCCGGTACTCCTGGTCCTGTACAATGAGGATGACATCGCAGAGGAGACCGTCATGCCGCTGCTCATTTAAACCACATAAGACTTCACTGCTGTGGTTTGGGAATGGGATCCCGATAAGATCTTCAATGCCATTGGCCATATTCTCATTTAGTGCCCTAGGACAAAACACAGACAGTAGAGAATAAGCAAGGGGTTCCCAGTCAGCAACACCAGAATAACCCTGCTTTCTCTCAGTGTCCTCCTCTCCCCTGCCCTGCTTGGACCTCTGTAATCACTTCCTGCTTGCATTGCCCCAGTGTGTCTCCCTGTCACGTTTAACTCCTTCCAGGTCCTCTATGATTTAACCTGTTCTTCCCTCCATGTCACTTTGTCTCTTTCTTTGTCTCCATCCACCTCTTCTCGGTACCCACCCTATTCACCTTTTCATAACCACCACAAGCTCCCTCTTCTCTTTCACATCCCTCCCCCAGGAACCTTGTGCAATGATTCCCTCCCCATCACATTTCTTCCACATCCTCTCAGAGCCAACATCTTTCCAGGCACACATTGGATTTGCCCTGCCAGGAGCTAGGCAGGGAAAGGGTGATGCTGTATTGCTTCACACTGCCAAGAGCCAGCACCTACACCTTAAACAAGACGAGCCAGGGAGTCCCCATCACATCTACACAATTGTTTCTTGGGACTGGTATCCCAAGTAGGAGGGACTGCTGGTCTTGGCTGGCTGCTGCAGCAGAAGAGAAGTCCTTATGAGGTAGCAGGTCTCCAGTTCTGTGTCCTCCTGCTACTTCAGGCCTGGAAGCTATCCCATGTCACCTCAGCATGTGGACAACATGCATAGGGATGTCTTCTGGAGGGACAGAATGGGGAATGGGGGAGGCAAGTGAGGAGCTGAGTGTCACAGAGTACCTAAACGCTCAAAGACAACTAGGGAGCAAGGGCCTGGCCAAAGGCAGATGGCTGTCTGCTATCTGCACACATGAGCTGTGCTTGCTCCATTCCCAATCCTGTTTGGACTTGTTAGCGTGGTATCAAATGCCCTGTGCCTCTGGCAGACACCCTCCCCTGCTAGAGCAGCTCTAGCTTCAAAGGGAAATTCGGAAGCAAAAAGCCCACACCCAAAAGGAAAACCTGATTTTTTTTGGCCATTTTTTTATCTGTAAGATGTTTCCTCTTTCACATGGCTCCAGCAGCCCTTCCACATGAGAAATCCCAGGAAAGGAGAGCAACTTCCTCCAGCAGGCGACGAATACATTAATCCCATCACACACAGAATACATCAAACAGCCGGAATAATTTTGAATACACTAACCCTTTGGAAACCCCCAGGACACAGAGCATGTGTTCGTGCACTGCCACCTCTATGAGTCCCAGCTCGCAGCCCTGCTGCAGGTAGACAGTTCACAGACGAGCAGTTCATCTCTCAGAGAGCCCAGGGTACATGTAAGTAAAACTGAAGCCCCACTCTGGACCCTTTTGCAAGGCTGAGACTATCAGGTAGGTTCACAGTCCCACCCTCTGCATCTCTGGCAGGTTCCCAATCCCACCCCACAACACCTCCACATCTCTGTTGGGATCTATCACTACTTCCCCGGTGTTTTTCCCTGCTCAGTTTCTGCGCTGACTCCAAATCTCCTTCCCACCAGCTGTGGGGACCTGGTCTACGTCATGGTGAGGGGCTGGCTCCCACCCTACCAGCTGCCTCCAGCCCTCAGGGATGGAAAGAGCCTGGTCTGATGGAGGTTGTCCAGGGAAATCCTTGCTTCACCTTGGCCAGGAAGCTAGTGACCCTTGCAGAAGGCTGGGGAGCTGTAGAGGGGATCAGACTCTGCAGCAAACATTGCTGTGGGAAGAGGTATGCCATCTCCCTCTCCTCCCTCCACAGGGTCAAATCTCCAGCTGAGACCTTGCAGATATCTCCCCACTCCTAACCAGAACTGCCCAACACTCACCACATGGGAGCCAGTGGGTGAAGGCCTTGGTAACATGGTGCAACCTGGATGGAGCACAGCCCAGGGAGGGGTTATGGACCACCAGCCTGGAGGGAACAATGCTGGGATGGGGCACAAGCTGTCGCTGCACTAGTTCTTTCCCCACCATGGGAAGCCCCCCCATGCCCAGTGATGGGGAAAGAAACTGGGAATTGCACCACTCTGAGCCCCCACTCAGCTCCAGCCACTGGTGTTTCCAGCCGAGGGTTGATGCTCCAGTCCCGCATCCTGCGCTGTGCCCATTAGCTCCACACTTATTATGTCTGTTGTCTGAAACAAATTGATTCATTACAGTGTGCTGTGCTTAACCACGTTAACTAGCTATGCTCCTCTACCAGCCCGACTGACTCTGTATCAAATCTTCCTTGAAAATTGCCAATAAATGAAAGTAAATCCAATGTGTTCTCCAAGTGGAGTGTAAGATAATAAATAACCTCTGAGCCGGGGAGAAAAAGACAACTTCCTTTTTAGGGCTTTGTATCTTTAATAATAAGCATGAGCAATTAAATTTCTATTGCTGTATTTATCTTCTACTCATGTATTTGTCTCTGGCAGAAGCATTAGTGTAAAAGGAGCTCCTTGCATGAAGGAATGTGTCTTCCTACAAATCTATTTTGATCTTTTATTGACACATCACCCTAAGTGCAAAAGATCAGAAAAGCAGAATATTAGACTACCCCGATAATTGTTTTTATAGAGGTTTTTTTCCAGACACTAAACTCCATCCTCCCTAATTTGTGGATTATTCACTCAGCAGCGAGAAAACAAGTAAAAATGGAATTAGGAGATCAGGGTGTATGCGATTATAGACTAAAGTGATCTACAGCTCCTTTTGGTGGAAATGGACTTATTTTCCTTTTTTTTCCCCTCCTGGTCCCCTCGAGATGTGGTTCTGTTAACTGAAGCACTTAGGCACGCTGCTAACTTTACAGGATGCTGGCAAAATTGAAGGTGGTTCATGTCATTTAAATGGGGGGGGGG